AAAGTTTTTACCTGCGGTCCACAATAAAAAATACATTTATATTGTGAACCAGCATTCACATATGCATAAATAAACCTAGCAGTACTTACTCTTATTATTGCATGATGTACTCTGGTATTTTCTAGCCTTTTCCCTTTTCCTGCAGTTTCTGTTTAATGCTGCTGTCGGATTCAGGGCTAAGGCTCTGGGTGAGGGCTGCACTGTGGACCAGCCCTGTGGCCTTGGCCAGGCTCCTCCCCACAAGCTCCTCAGGTGTAAAACAGATTTGTTTACACCTCATGGGGAGGAGAAAGTTGGTAGAAATGTCTAGCGAGGTCCCTGGCACACAGCGTATTTCTGTACACACCAGCTGAAGTGTGTCTTTGTGGGTCGGAGGCGCCTCCAAGAGTTGATGGTACTCTTGCTGACCTGGTGCACCATTTGCCAGCGGTTTGCGTTGGTAGCCTGCTTGAAATGGTCCACCATTTCTCCTAGGGGGAAGGGAATCCCTCCAGCCGTATGTGTGTGTCATGGCTGCATGTGTATTTCACTTCCCAGCCACTCTGTGTAGGTAAACATTGCATACACACTGCGTCCCCTCCTTCCCTTGGTCTCCGTCCCCTCCTGCTCTCCCAGGAGGAGGATGTTCCACCTCCAGGACACCCGCACGGATGATCACGACACAGATTTTCAGGCCCTGCTGAAAATAACTTCAAGACTATACTTACATCCCACAGTGTAAATTGAACATGATTTAATGTGGGCTTTTGCATTCTTTAATTGGGGTAATGTTGTACAGCAGAAAGAGAATGAATGCATAGACTTCCGATGGGACAGCCTTCAGTTTGAATGTCCGTTGGCCTTCATGAGACTGAGTTTCTTCACCTGTGAAATGTGGATAATATGTATTCTTGAAGGAGTACGAATGGGATGAAGTGTGTAGAATATCTAGGGCAGGGGTCGCTGTGAATTTTTATTGCGTGCGCATTTTCCTGTTCCATGCAAGGCATTGTGCCTTTGCTGACATCCCGGCTCCCCTCTCTGGGAGAGCCTCCTGCTGCTCGCCCACCTGAACGCCTTCCAAACCCTGCACTGCTGTAACCCTGTATGCATAGCCCTGTACTCCACTGGGTTGCTCCCTGTGGCCCTCTGGGTGCCCGCCTTCCAGTGGCTGTTTGCAAGGCACAATGGAGCTACTATAGCTCTTTAGGTTTCCTTTCTTTTCCTTGAGAGTATGTCTTTCTTAAATATTTTATTTTATTCTTTTTTTATTGCTTGATTTTTGGGATGGAGAATGATAGTGATTCATTGTTCCACCCATTCGCACATTTCCTGGTTGGTTCTCGTTTGTGCCCTGACTCGGATGGAACCCACAGCTGTGGCCAGCGCTCTACCCAGCTGAACTCTTCTTGGCTGGGGCAAGAGTACATTTGTTAAAAACAGTCGTATTGAGGTATAATTGACATAAAATAAAATGAACGTGTTTGATAATATCTGACATGTGTGTACGCCTGTGAAACCATCACCATCAAAAGTTTCCTTAGTGTAGTTTACAGTTTTTAGAATAATGTAAATGGAATCATAGAGTCAGCGGTCCTTCATATGTCCTTCTTCAGCTGGCTTTTTCCATTTAACACAGTCATCCTGAGAGTTTTCTACGTTATGTGTGTCAATAGTTTATTCCTTTTTATGTTGAGATGCACTGCAATTTATCCATTCATCTGTTGATGGACATTTGGGTTGTTTCCAGTTTTTGATGGTTACAAATAAAATTGTTATGAGTCTTTGGGTACAAGTTTTTGTATGAACATGTGCTTTTATTTCTTTTGGGTAAATAGTAGGGGGAATGATTGGGATAATATAATACATGTATGTTTAACTTCTTAAGAAACCATCAAACTGTTTTCCAAAATGGTTTACCATTTTCCATTTCTACTAGCAGTGTATTAGAGTTCTAGTACTTCCACATCTTTGTTAACACTTGTTACTATCTGTCTTCTTAATGTCAGCCATCCTAGTGGGTATGCAACGGTATCTTGTTGATTTGATTTACATTTTTCTGATGACTGATGATATGTTGACATCTTTTCATGGGCTTACCTTTGTTTACCTTTCATAAATCTTTGAGAAATTGTTCAAATATTTTGCCCTACCCTCTTAAAAAATGGAGTTTGTTTTCTTATTAATGAGCTTTTAAAGTTCTTTACCTGTTGTGCATATAAATCCTTTTTCAGGCCCTGGCTGGGTAGCTCGGTTGGTTAAGGTGTCATCCCGACACACTAAGCAAGGTTGCAGGTTCAGTCTCCAGCCGGGGCACTGAGAAGACTCAGCCAGTGAACGCGTAAATAGATGGAACAGCAAAATCGATGTTTCTCCCTCTCTCCTGCTCCCTCCCTCTCCCTTCCCCTCTCACTTCTCTCTGTCTCTAAAAATCAATTAATAAGGAAAAAATTATTTTAATCCTTTATCAGATATGTGATTTGCAAATATTTTCTCCCAGTCTTCAGCTTGTCTTTTTTATTATTTTAACAATGCCATTTGAAGATTAGAAGTTTCTGTTTTAATAAAGTTTAATTTACCCATTTTGAGGAGAGTGTGGCATATCCAAGAAATCTTTGTCTAACATAAGGTCATAAATGTATTCTACCAGAAGTTATATAGTTTTAGGCATTACAGTTACCCCTATGAACTATTTTGAGTTAATTTTTGTATATATATGATGTGAGATATCAACTGAATTTTTTTTAACTGGTGTCCAATGTTGTAGCACTTTTTGGTGAAAATGACTATTCTTTCTCCATGGAATTGGCTTTTCATCTTAGTCACAAATCAGTTGTCTATGGGTTTATTTCTGGACTCCTTTTCCTGTTCTAATGATCCATTTGTCTACGTTTGTGCCAACACCATACTTTCTAGACTACATTATAAGTTTCTCCAAAATAAGAACCATGTTTCATACTTTTTTGCAGAGACAACCAACACTTACCAAGCAACTACACGTTAACCAGTATGTTTACTGTGTTGAAAAAACCGAAACTTTAATACAACCATTTAAAGAGAAAATGTGGAGTTGAAAACCTAATTTAAGGAGCATTTAATATTTTGAAACTTTTGTGCTTGGCATCTAAAGTCAAAAAAATTTCAGAGATTTTCAGTGAGCTCGTGCATCTTTGAAACTTAACTTAAAGGTCTCATTTGTAATTAAAACATAGAACAGTCTGTCAGTTTTTGTCTCTTCCCACGTCTGTGTCCTTCGTGTCTCCCTATACATTAAAATTTTTTCTTTGTTTTGCAAAACTAATTTTAAATCATATGTATGTGAATGTGTTTCTTTTCTTCTTAAAAGTTTTATTTTTAGAGAGAGGGGAAGGGAGGGAGAAAGAGAGGGAGAGAAACATCAATGTGTGGTTGCCTCTCATGTGCCCCCTACTGGGGATCTGGCCCGCAACCCAGGCATGTGCCCTGACTGGGAATCAAACTGACAACCCTTTGGTTCGCAGGCCAGCACTCAATGCAGAGCCACACCAGCTAGGGCTACAATGTAAATTGTCAATACATTCATTCATTTGATGATCTTTGAACATCCAGTAAGTGCCAGACATATAACAGCAAAATAGGTATGCTTGCTACCCTCACAGAGTTTGAAGTCTAGTGCAATGGCTTGCACTGGAAGTGGAACTGGCGACCTTTTGATTCACAGGCTGGCACTCAGTCCACTGAAGCACACCAGCCAGGGCTCACTTAATTTTTTATCTCACACTTTCCAGTGCTCTCTCCCTTCGTACTGCATTCTGAGGGAACTTGACTTTCCAGTTCACTATTACCCTCTTTATCTGTGTTTATTCTGCTTTTCAATCCATTTATCTTCCCTCCTTCCCCCAAATTATATTTTCATTTCCAAGATTGCTAAGTCCCCTTTTCATGACTGCTCTTATTTGGAAACTGTTCTTGTTTCAAGAATGTTGTAGTTTCTCTTATCTCTGTGTATTTTGTTTATACTTACCTGGAAAGTTTGCTCTGATTCCATTATGCAGTCAGCTCCTTCAGGTGTGCATCCTTCCATTTGTTGAGTCTCTGTTCTCTTCCGTAATCTCAGCTTTCCTCCAGGGTTGGCATTTGAGGACACGTCTGAAGGGAAGATGGTGCTGCTTCTACCTCTTGAGCTCCATGCACATTGTAGGCAGAGTTAGGTGAGGTCAGAGTGTTACCTAACTCTGCGGCAGGGTGGCGCCTCCCTGTTCCTTTGGGCATCACCAGGCGCTGGGGCATTGCCTTCCCTCTCACACCCCAGCTCGTAGACTCACTGCTCCCACCTGGAATGTATTCTGGAGGCAGGGCTGTCTAACCTATTGGCTTCTCTAGGCAACACTGGAAGAAGAAGAGTTGTTTTGGGCCACACAGTAAATACACAAACACTAATGAAAACTGATGAGCAAAAACCAAAGTTTTAAGTAAATTTATGATTTCGTGTTGGGCCGCAGTTGGACACCCCTGCTAGTCTGTGTGGGGTGGTGTTTGGTAGGTGGATGGGCAGTGGTGCCTGGAGTGATGTATCTGCTTGGTCTTTGCACTTTGATTCTCCAAATAATGACCTTGTTGGTTGCCTTTCTGCCCCTTCCAGGGTAAATGAGCAAGCGTCTCTTTAGTGCATAGAGACCCTGGTGATCTAGGCCAAGAAGGACATTGCTCTGGAATGCCAGCACTGGGTTCTTTTCCCGGGGAGTGGCTCAGGAAACCTCTACTCCTCACCCTCGAGGTTCCCTGCTTGCGAAGCAGAATTGTGCAGGTTTTGTGGCCTCCCCGGGCTGGCACGGGAGGTGGTGAAACAGCATTTTTCAGTGCTTTCCCCTTACTAAAAGCTGGCCCCTCGAAGAGTGGAATGAAGTAGTTAGCAATGTCCATATTGGGAAAAGCCGAGCTGCTTGTGAATCATAAATCACATCTCAGGCGGAAGTGAAACTCCTCGAATTAACCGCTGTGACAGTGTCTCACCCTCATTTTTGTTTTGTGGTTTTCTCCAGTTCTGGACTTCAGCGATCCCTTCAGCACCGAGGTGAAGCCGAGGATCCTGCTCATGGGCCTGAGGAGAAGTGGCAAGTCTTCCATTCAGAAGGTGGTCTTTCACAAGATGTCCCCCAGCGAGACGCTGTTCCTGGAGAGCACCAACAAGATCTGCCGGGAAGATGTCTCCAACAGCTCATTCGTTAACTTCCAGATTTGGGACTTCCCGGGACAGATCGACTTTTTCGACCCTACGTTCGACTATGAGATGATCTTCCGGGGAACAGGAGCGCTGATATTTGTCATCGACTCCCAGGTAAAGCTCAGCCTTGGGTGCAGTGGGCCCGTAGGCCCCTCTCGCCGACACAGGCAGCCACTCCCCTGGGTTCAGAGTTTCCTTGGTGGTGGCTTCGGTGTGGGGTTTGGTTTTTAGAATTGAGAAGAGGCCTCTCTGACAAAAAAGCATTTGGGGTTCTCAGAGTCTGCAAAGAAGCCTGCGTGCAACCCTGAGGAATAATTGATGGTGTTAGGGAGCCGTGTGTATCGCAGCAACTCGCAGATCTAGGAAACCTCACAGCTGGAGGGAGCCACCGTGTGGGCCAGAGACAGCACACACGTGTTCCCCCTCTGATCCTCTTGGCAGACATCTACAAAACATCACAGGTTCTGTGCAACAAAAATATGTATAAGTTTACATTTTAAAATGCATACTATTTCCTATGAAGATAAAGTTCCAAATTCAAAATTTTTTCTTCTGAGTTAAAATTATTGTAATCATTGATTACACAATTGATCACAATAGTGCATAATTGATAAAGACAATATAACTGTCATGTATTTTATAGGTAACTTAAATATAAACAGTAAAATTGGAGATAATTATATCTTTTAAGGAGATAGATATTTTTCTACTTAATTCATGTATCTATGCTTGAATAAGACAGCACTTGGAATTGATTCTATTTTTGTTTCTATAGACATAACCACTGGAAAACCTTGTTCATACAAATAAGTAGGTAGATGTAGGGTGAGGTTTGATATAGTATTCACTCGATTATTATTATTATTTTGAAAGATTTTGGCCCTAGCCGGGTAGCTCAGTTGGTTAAAGCATCATCCTAACGCACCAAGATTGCGAGTTCTATCCCCGGTCAGAGCACATTCAAGAATCAACCAACAAATACATAAATACGTCAAATAACAAATCAATGTTTCTTCAAACCAGTTATTCTTTAAATCCAAGCCAGTCTTCTGAATTTTCTCTTTGGCACCCTGGGATGTGGTACCCTGAGCTTTTCTCCTGCTAAGTGGGAGCAGGGCCCGTGTAAAAGGGGAGGTGAGGAAGGGAAGCAGTGGAACCACTGGTGCATCTCAGGCAGGTCAGTATTAGAAAGAGTGCAGGCAGCAGGATCAGGACCTTGATGCTCTTCATACTCTCTATGTCCAAGCATCTTAGAAAGTGTACATGATGTGTGGCCAGGCTGACGGTCCTTTTTAAAAAAAATATTATTTATTTTTAGAGCAAGAGGAAGAGAGGGAAAAAGAGAGAGAGAAACATCAATGTGTGGTTGCCTCTCATGTGCCCCCCACCTGGGACCCAGCGCCTGCACCCCAGGCATGTGCCCTCACTGGGAATTGAACCTGCGACCCTCTGGTTTGCAGGCTGGCGCTCAACCCACACCAGCCAGGGCGCTGACAGTCCTTTTATTGCAGCTGAGGGGGAGTAAAAGGCAAGTCCTACATAATGCACTACACCCTCTGTAAACCCAGGTCCAGACCTTTTCCTGAAACCATGGGCCTGCAAAGAGACAGGCAGGCCGAGCACTCCCAGCCCTTGCAGGAGCATGGGTCTCGTTAGCGGGGAGTGTGGGAAGGCTGACTTAGTCATAATGGTTCTGAGCCCACACTTGGAAAACTGTTCTCTGAGAAGACTGCTCATGCCAGAGAACATTCATGGAACTAGGCATTTAATATAATATTGAAATTTTCACCCAAAGCCTTTTAGTTTCAAGTGACTGCACTTGGACATCTAGTGTAGTACAGGAGCTTGGCTGTACTGACCTTTCTGTGGTTAGAAAGGGTTCTTTCTTTGGTGGTGGGGTTTAGCTGCGGGAGACATTTAAGTTCCAAGGCCTGGTCTGGGAAAAGCAAGCAGTGCGTCTCCGCCCTTGGACTCGTCCAGAAGCACGTGCTTGTAAGACACCGGCATCAGGTCCAGGGCCTGTTGTCAGTCGCTGCTTTCCTGGCTGTCCCACTTATGCTGACCTGTTTTCTGGCCCATCTGTGGCCTTGGCAGTATCCCCTGCCTTTCTGCCTAGGTCTGCCAGCACCATAAATTAGGAAGCCTGGCACTGGAGGGGAGGGGCTGGAGTGTGTACATGCTGCTGCATGGGAGGTGAGGCTCCGGGGATGTCATGGTCACCTGTCTCTTTTAAGTTCCATTTTTTTCCCTAAGTCACATGGCCGCCAATTCTGTAGTTATTGAACTGGGTAGTGGCAGCCTGTGAGTGAGTATATTCTCTAACCAGTGGCTAGTGGATTTCAAGACAGTGGCTTTGTAAGTAAATACTTACTTCAATGTCACGTTGTGCTTACCTAACAATTTGAGTTTATGGAATTCCCATTTCCAGAGCAAATCTATCTCAGGTATTTGTATGATGGCTATAATTGGGCTAAAATAGGCATACTTGCCTATGTTTAAATTGCAACCATAATTTAAAAAAAAAAATTTTATTGGTTTTAGAGAGAAAGAGGAGGCAGAGAGAGAGAGAGAACATTGATTATTTGTTCCATTTATTTATGCATTCATCGTTAACTCACAGCCTTGGTGTGTCGGGACGACACTCTTAACGAACTGAGCCACCAGGCCAGGGCCGTAATTTGGTTTTAATTCTACTTGAACTTGAAAGGAGACCTTCAGTTTGGGTTGGTAAATGTTTTTTTTGTCTTATTTCATGGTTTTTTGTTTATTTGTTTGTTTTTTAGTTGTAGGGCAGAGAAGGTATAAGAATGCTTACAAAATTCGTCTTTTTAAATTATACTTTTAGAAAAGGGCCCTGGCTGGGTGTCTCAGTTGCTTGGAGCATCGTCTGGGACACCAGAAGGCTTCGGGTTCGATTACAGTTGGGGCACATGCCAAGGTTCTGGGTTCGATTCCCCCAGGGCAGGGTGGGGGGCTGAGGGGGCAGCCAGTTGATGTTTCTCAGTCTGTCTCTCCCTGTCTTCCCCTTTCTCTCTCTCTCTGAAATCAGTAAAACATGTCCTTGAGTGAGGATTTAAAAAAATCATATTTGTGGGAGTCCTTATAAGATGTGATTACAAGCAGTGAAAGATGAGTACATGTGCCCCAGCCAGGGTGCCTCAGCTGGTTGGGTGCCGTTCCACAAACCGAAAGGTCACTGGCTTTATTCCCAGTCAGGGCACGTGCCTGGGTTGCAAGTTCATGCTGGTCAGGCCCTTATGGAAGGCAACCAATCGATGTTTCTTTCTCTTTCTCCCTCCCTTCCCCTCTAAAGTTAAAAAAAAGCAGCAGCAGCAGCAGCACACATTAGGGAAATCTCTCAGCAGCACTTGATCATCATTTTCTTTATTCCTAAGCAGTGCTCTGGTGGTCTGACGCCTTGTACGTTTATTGTTGCTTGTGAGTTCTTCACAAACACAGGATTGCCAGATAAACATATCACCAAAGAGAAAATGTGTCCTCGCAGAATGTTGTACCGGGTTGGCCAAAAAGTTCATATGTTTTTTTTCTGTAAGATGGCTCTAGTAGAGCTTAGTTGTCTTTAACCTCATTCAAAATAATTTTGTTAGACTGTATTGTGACAGCTGTCATATCAGCATGCACTTTAAAAAACTTATCAAAATTGGTGAATTTTTGTGTAGCCATTTTAATATGGAAGATGGAAAAAATGGGCAACATTTTTGTCATATCATGCTTTTTTATTTCAAGAAAGGTAAAAACGCAACTAAGGATGCAGAAAAAGATTTGTGCAGTGTATGGAGAAGGTGCTGTGACTGATCGAATGTGTCAAAAGTAGTTTGAGACATTTTGTGCCGGAGACTTCTTGACGGACCATGCTCCATGCATGGTAGGCTAGACAGTTGAAGTTGACAGTGATCAAAGTGAGACATTAACTGGGAACAATCAGTGCAGAACCACGTGGGAGATGGCCGACATACTCAAAGTCTCCAAATCCATGAAGTTATTGGTAAAAATGAAAAATGTGGTTTTTATTTCACAGAAAAAAACATACAGACGTTTTGGTCAACCCAATAAACATAAAAGAAAGAAAGCACCGAGAGTCACTTTCCCACAGCCCAACTATGTGATGCCACCAGCCCCCAGCAGAGCCCACAGAGCACACCGCCGCTCCAGGCCCCTGCAGCCCCCAGCAGCCATGCCGCACGCGCTTAGGGACACACATGTCTGTAATTCCTAGATCTAATTTTGGATTAAAACTAAGCAGTATATTTTTTCTTTATTTTTAATTGGCAATAATAACAAACACAGTAGGAAAAGTCATCCACAATCCCTCTGCTCTAATAAACCAAGTATTTTTCCTTTTTAATGTCGTTTATAATCCTATAGCTAACATACTCTGTCACCAGTTAATTGGTAGTCAGACCATTTTATATGCTTGGCAGGGAGGTTAGAGTAGCCTTTTCCAATCCTTTGAAACAGTGATGCTCTCTTGACATTATCTGGTTTTGCTCACAGACATGTCCCTTTAACTCCCTCTCTGCTTGTCTCAGTCATAAGCAATAACCCTTTTTTGAGGTTAATATATGTACAATAAAATGGCCTCATTTTAAGTGAATAGTTCAGTGACTTTGACAAATGTGTACACCTTGTAACTATCTCACAGTCAAAGTGTAGAGTATTTCTACCATCTCCAAAAGATTCCGTTTTGTCCTTCCTCAGACAGCCCCAAGCCCCAGCCCCAGCCCCAGCCCCAGCCCACTGCGGACATGCTTCCTGTCACTATGGATTGGTTTGCCTTTGCTAGAATTTTGTATATGTGGAGCCATTCAGTGACGACTTTAGTTTTTATTTGAGACACTTCAGGGTATTCAAGAAGTGCTGCAAATTATTCACCCAGAGTTTTTCCGATATGCTTAATCTGCTAGCCCAGTGTCCAAAATTTTTTTTCATTTTAAACAACTCTTTAGAGGGTGAGGATGAGAAAGACTCCATATGTTATTTATCTGTCTTCATAGTTTATTAGTGTCTTTAATATTTTGATTTATATAGAGACTTGGGATACATTTTACTAATTTAGTTTGGGAAATGGGAGAATGCCAGAAACATCCCCTGCTTTATTGGCTTTCCATATTTGTCCAGGTTTGGAATCAAAATAGGAGGTGAAAGTCCTTTGAATTCTGTCTTTCGATCCCTTTCCTTTTTTTGCTATAAAAATAAGACGTGTTCACACCTTCAGACTGGCAATAATTAGGAGATCTGACGGCACTGACTGTGCGTGGGCGTCAGGCACCAGGTGCTGTTACACAGTATCTGGTCAGATTCAGGGAGCTCATTCCTATGGCCCAATGTGTCAGTGTCCCGCTGAGCCCCAGGCCTTGCAAACAGACACAAAGATGCATGTGGGAGACTGCCCAAATGGTCACTGTCTGGAAAACATTCTGAAAGTCTATCAACAGGTATCAACAGTGATAAACTGTAGGCCATCCATAAATGAGGTTTTATAGAGCGGTTAAAAGGAGTTATGCTCTTCACTATAGATGATGTCACGGACATATTTTGAGTGAAAAAGGCAAACCGAAATATATGTGTAACTTCATATTTTTGTAAATTTTAGAACAATGTAAATGAATTCTGTATGTTGTTTAAGGAGTTATGTATGTAGTAATAATATACGAAAAGATGAGTGAGAACAAACACTGAACTTTGTACAGCGTCACCTCTGGAGGATGGAGGTAGAGCGATCAGGTGGGCTGGGAGGAAGGGGAGAAAACCACAGGGCTTCAGTGTCTTGATGGTTTCTTTCTTTCTTTTTTAAAGTTTTTTTTTTAATTATTGATTAGAGAGAGAAACATCTATTAGTTTTTCCACTTATCCATTAATTCTTGTATGTGTCCTGACCGGAGATCGAACCCGCAACCTTGGCGTATCAGGATGATGTTCCAAGCAGCTGAGCTACTTGGCGAGAGCTGATGTTTGATTTCTTATGCAGAGAGACACATGTACAGGTGTTCATTATATTATTATGTAGGAGTCATTTGTAGGGAGGAGAAAAAATAGTATTGTGTTATTTGAGGCCATGATTGTAGACCATGGGTCAGCAATCTTTTTCTGTCAAGTGCCACATGGTAAATATTTTAGGCTTTGCAGGCTATACTATCTCTGAGGAGTTTCCACAGAGGAAAACTACTCAGCTGCCATCATAGCATGGAAGCAGTCACAGATACTTTGTAAACAAATGATGGTGGCTCTGCTCCAATGAAACTTTACTTACAAGCCACAGCATGGGCCCAGTTCAGGTGGTTCTTAAAAGTTTTTTCTTCCTGCCTCCTTCCCCATCCTCCCAGTGACCCATACCATATTTTCATTTCTCAATGTTCATCAAAGTTTACCAAGAGACTCAAAAATCTGGGAGGAATTGTATTGCAAGGGAGGTCCTAGGTGACCCTTGTGAATTTTCATTTCACAAATTTGCAACTCTGATCTTTGTGATTGTCACCAAGCTGGTCGTAACTGCCTATAGCTGTGCATTTCTGGCCTTTCTTTTTCATCTTTTGTTAGTAAAACTTAAGTTTTCAGTCTTGAGTTTTATGAAACCAGCTTTTATTGGGCTTTTGCCAAATATTTTTGGAGGCTGTACCCAGATGGTTTCTAAATTAAGAATGAATGTGGAAAGGACAAAAGTGGTTAACTGTGAGGAGAGGTGCTGGAAAGTTCAGTTAGCTTGATGGGAGGTCATTTCACAACATATATGTGTATCAAAACATCACATTGTACACTTTAAGTGTACACTATGTTTATTTGCTAAGCATACCTCAGTAAGGCTGGCTGGTGTGGTTCAGTGGGTTGGGCACCACTCTAAGAACCGAGAGCCTGTGGGTTTGATTCCCTGTCAGGGTTTCAAGCCTGGGTTGCAGGCCAGGCCTCTGGTTGGAGGCGAGCAACAGACTATCAATCGAGGTTTCTCTTGCATGTCGATGTTTCTCTCCCTCTCTTTCTTCCTCCCTCCCCCTTTCTCTAAAAATAAATAACATCTTTAAAAACAAAGTAAAGCTGGGGAAAAAAAGAATGTGTGTGAAAGGCAACTCATAGGGTTTAGAAAGCGCAGCAGCCTGCCCTGACAGGAGTGTGCCTTGTTCCTAGGACGATTACATGGAGGCCCTGGCCCGGCTGCACCTCACCGTGACCAGGGCCTACAAAGTGAACACCGACATCAACTTCGAGGTGTTCATTCATAAAGTGGATGGTCTGTCCGACGACCACAAAATTGAAACCCAAAGAGATATTCATCAGAGGGCAAACGATGACCTTGCAGATGCTGGATTAGAAAAAATTCACCTCAGGTGAGAAAAGAAACCCCTCGGGGATCGCAGCGATGAACGAAGAAAAGCAGATTTGGGGTCCAGAGGCACCGGAAGTGGGTTGGCGTGGGCAGGAATTTACCTGACTACCCCGTTTTGTGCTGTAGACATTGGGATAACCTTTGGGAAAAGCAAGCTTTCCATGCACTAATTCTAATCTTTGGGAAAAGCAGTAGTGTTTTAAATACATATGTATTTTTAACAAATGGTCAATGCTAAGGTTCTTCCCTCATTTGAAAAACGCATTAAAATAAAACTCATGAGCATAATCCAGGAAGTTAATTGATGCTGAAGTTTGCAATTCTTGATAAAGATGGCAGTATCCAACGCTGGAGATGTTCAAATAGAAATACTCACAGAAGAAAACCTCTTCTCTGCCGTGTTTTGTGGGGTGCTACCTGTATATCATTTCGCAGATTGGAAGATGGCAGACTTAGGTTTTTCAGTATGAATCACGTAACTGTTACTGCCCTGAGAGGCCTGGGCATAGGTGATCTGGTGCACATTCTCATGCAGAATGTAAGGAAGCTGGTATGGACACATACTATGCATTTTTTAAAAAATATGGGACTATTCACAAATTTGCATGCCATCCTTGCTCAGGGGCCATGCCAATCTTCTCTGTATCATACGTGTATTTTTAAGCTTTCCAGTTCAGCCAGTCGGCAGATGAGAACGGGCCCAGTTCTTGCTTTATGGGTGGTGGGGAGGAGAGGCTTATTAAGTAAGACATGTTCAGTTTTTACCAAGGCTGTTTCCAGTACTGGAGGGGGCTGGACTCTGTGTGTAAGAGGTGTAGACACAGAAGGCAGGGGACTGGTGTTATGACAGAGCCTAAGCAGTCCACTCCTCCGTCAAGGGGAAAACGTGATGAAATGTTGTTTCCTCTTTCAGCTTTTATCTGACAAGCATATATGATCATTCAATATTTGAAGCTTTTAGCAAAGTGGTTCAGAAACTAATTCCACAACTCCCCACCCTGGAGAATTTGCTAAACATCTTTATCTCGGTAAGTAAATAATATTGTTCTGTGAGTGTCATTTGTAGAATTTAAGAATAACATTGCAAGAGTGAAAATGATCTTACTTCTGCTTACTCTTACAGCATTCAAGATCACTAAAGTATTACTTTTGGAGGTTGCTCCTACTGGTTGTTTTAGGCAACCATTCAGTGTTAATAGAGCCCTCCCAGAGGCAGAGAGCATAACATTTAGTTTGGCAATAAGATATATACTGTTAAGACTGGTCGATGAGCTGGCCAAATGAGTCCTATAAACTACCAGCTCCTCAGAGTAGAATTGAGGCAGACCTGTTGGTTGTACTCACATTAATTCTCACTGCACAATTTGGAATTTGCTTGTTTAGATTCTTAAATTAATTTTTTAATTTAAAATTAGTGTCTACTTGGCCCCTACTCCATTTGTTTACTTATAGTAAATAATTGGTGATAATTAATTCCACTTTTCCTTTCTTATGCAAGTCCATTATAATGAAGTATATGACAATGAGGTTTAAATTGTAATAAAATGGAACAACCTGAAACTTTAGTAACTTAATTTTTGCTCGTTCATTTTTTACATAGCAGATGGCATATAGTTTTATGTAACCATGACCTGGTCTGAAATCAGCTGTTGCTCTAAGTCAGCGTCTTCTTTTTGTTTTAGAATTCAGGAATTGAAAAGGCATTTCTATTTGATGTGGTCAGTAAAATTTATATTGCAACTGATAGCACCCCAGTAGATATGCAGACCTATGAACTCTGCTGTGATATGATCGATGTGGTTATTGACATCTCTTGTATTTATGGGTAAGTAAAATATTCTTACAGGCTACAACCAAGCCATACTTCTCTCATAACCTTTGAGATATTTTGCATTTACTTATTTGATTTTAAAACTTTTGTTTTGAATGACTGAGATCTATAAATGTATCATTTAGCAGGCAATAATAACAAGTAATTATCGAGTAAATTCCTGACATTATGCTAATAAACTCATTGCTCACATTACATCATTTAACTCTCCACCAATCCACGAGGCAGGAATCACTATCCCCACCTTATTTATTTATTTAATCTCCACTGTAAAGCTGGGAAAACTGAGGTTTACCCTGGTTTAAATTTCTAATTTTTGCTCACACAGTCAGTGAGGGATGAAACTAGAATCTGAACTCAAGCCCAACTGGTTCCTGGGGTTTCCCTGCTGAAGCTCTGCCATCATATTGCAACTTGGGAGACACTAACAGGGTCCTTGAAGTCTAAATAAGTATCTCATATTGACAGTAGTTCTATTATATTTCTTGTTACAGGAGATAACTGCTGGATTGTTTTTAAAAAATATATTTTTATTTTTTTTATTCAATTACAGTTGACATTCAATACTGTATTGGTTTCATGTGTACAGCATAGTGGTTAGACATTTATATAACTTACAAAGTGATCCCTTCAATAACATACTTTTAATTTTCCTCTATTGTGAGTGGCAGAAAATTTTAAAACTAAGCCAACAACATTACCTATTTATTATTATGGACTTACATTCTTAGAAAACAGAACTTTTTGTATACTTAAAATCATATAAAATAAACAAGGAGTGGGTGAAAATGATTGTTACCAGACATAGAAACAATTCCACATAACCATAAATTTGCTGAATGGATGTCATAAAGAGTGAGTAAGTGTGAACTGAACTACTCTGTCTTATCATCGAGTTGTTGCTGCCTATTTACATTGGCTTTATATCCTTATCCAGTCATTGATGACTTTAAGCTTTTGTTCATCTTCTTTGCTCACTGTGACCTGCTTTATGTGTAGCCTCCTTTTCTGTGAGTCTCAGTCTTGTCATTCCTCTCTTTCAGTGTCTGAAAATCCTTTGCCTACTGAGTTGTGATTATCTTTAACTCGGTTATACACACAGCACACAGAGTCCCTTCTGTGGTGAGAAGGGGAAAGTGCGACTTCACAGGACTGTAGTGAGGATGCAGTATCACTAGGTTTCACTGGTAAATCCTGATAAATAGAGCTGCTGCTATTATTATTATTATCATTATTATTATTATTATTATTATTAAACACTGCCATCTGGCTTTAGAAATAAACCTTATTTTCTAAGATTATTGCCCTACAGTAATCTATTATTTTTAAACTGTAAGTGAATGACCTTGAAGTAGCCATGAATCTGAATGTACCCAGATTACAGTCTAGATTGCTATGTTAATCAAGTACAATGAACAACACAATTAATCTTGCATATATTTAACAATATGCATAATCATTATTGTGCCATGTGGCAATTAGAAGTGGAAAGTTGTTCATGTGAATGGCGTTAATCAGCGTTACTTTTGTCCAGCTGAGACAAGCAGGGGAGGCAGGGGTTGCAGTAGGAGGGAGCGGGCCCTGCCCATCAGGTTGTTTCTATGGTAGAGCGCAATGTTCCCGAGAACCCGCCAGGTTCAGTGGGAACCAGTCTGGGTCACAAGTGGGGCGGGGACTCGCCCTGGGGTTTCCTCGGACTGTTTGCAAGGAGCCAGCCCAATTCATGGGGAGGGCTGGGGGAGGGCTGGCGATGTGTGTGGCAGCCCAGGAAGCAGGCTGGCTGCCAGTTCCCAGCAGCTCCCTGGAGACCAGCAGGGTTTAGAAGCAGGTGACCTGGTGCCTCAGTCCAACTGCTCAGGAATCTCAGCTGAGCTTCTGCTGAGGCTGGCAGCTACAAACACACATTTCAAAATACATTCTATCCCCATGTGTTTTTATGGCTTTGTAGATGGAAATAGGACTAGTAGAAAGTAGTTGTTGCAGTTGTAAAACCTCATCAATATCTACTTGTAGTTTTTTTGGTCTTTTTTTGTTTTTCCAATTTGTTCAATGTTTTAGTTTTTTTCTAATTATGAATGTGAACCATGCTCATTGCAGAAAATGCATAATTTTTTATGTAAATATAAAAAATAAAATTAGTCCATAATAGTCCATAGTCTTATGATGTAGAAACAATCACTAATATTTTTATGTATTTTATTCTTATTTCTGTGTAATTTTTAGGATAATGTGGTCACTTTGTATATTTAATATTTTACCCTGCTTTTTTCATTTAACATTGTCACTTAAGAATTTTCCTGTATAAGTGCTGTTAACAAACAATGCTTAGTGTCTATATAACATAGCATTATATTTACTTGGAAATTTTAAATTCAGTTTTCTTCATTGGTTAAAATTTTTAAATGTTTCGGTTTATATTCAGAACATTATTTATAAGCCAGAGAAGTTCAGTCTGGAAAACTAGTAACTAAAAATAGCACAAAAGAAGTTAAGAATTCTGTTAAAACATCTGTAACATCTGAGGTTTAACACTTCTTAAAATTTTTCTTTGCTGTTTTGGTAGGTTAATGAGGGGGACCCCCCAAAAAACCCAAAATTGTTTTTTTAAAAGATTTAATTATTTATTTTTAGAGAGAGGAGAAAGGAGGGAGAAAGAGAGGGAGAAAAACATCAATGTGTGGTTGCCTCTTGCACACCCCTGCTGGGGACCTGGCCCACAACCCAGGCATGTGCCCTGACTGGGAATTGAACCGGTGACCCTTTGGTTCACAGGCTGGCCCTCAATCCACTGAGCCACACCAGCTAGGGTAAAATCCCAGAATATATTTATTAAAAATTGTATATTTATTCCTACATGTTTAAACTTCAGTAACATTCAAAGTACTCTCCATTTGATGCAGTATACCTATCAAGACGTTTCTTCCACTGCTGGAAACAGTGTTTGAACTTGTCAATTTTGATACCTTTTAGTGCTTCTGCCAATTTTTGTTTCAGTTTTACCACATTGGGAAAATGTTACCCTCAGGAGAATAGAGAGGGTGGGGCACAGGGGTCATGCTGTGTTTGGTCCAAAACTGCTGAACACTTAGTGTGGTACAGACAGGTACACTCATAAATCACCCATCATGAAATGGGCAAACACATTGAGTCTTCAAAAAAAAATCACTGAATCCAAACACAGCCTCTCACAACAACACCAGCTGGTACAGGTGGGTTCCTCGGGCACTCATCTAGCGAGGGAAGCCTGTACTACAAGGGGCCTGCCCTCCAGAAGATAATTCCAGGGTTTTTGGGGTCGCCCCTTGTATAGTGAGTTGAATCCTTTTATAATAAACTAACTTCCACAATTTACTTTTAAGTAGCCCTGCATGTACTGGTTTAAAATACTCTCAAATCTAAAAGCCTACATTTCCTTTAAAATACTCTACAATTCAGGCATTTTCATTTAATCTGGTTTGTCACCCTGATGTGGACTCTGGCCAGCTGTGTTCATGGTGTTGTGGATGAGACGAGACAAATTCACATGACCTACTGAAGTCCTGTGAAGAGAAAGGGACTGCATGGCCACTCAAGGGGACAGTGCCTCTACCCTTGCCTTGACAAGCTTTTATTGCCTTCTAATAGAATGCATCAAAGAAGGTTCTCATTCATTATGCTCAGGTTTGCTTTAGGTGATTACTTTTACAGATAACAAAGGAAAGGATGTTACTGACTACTTCCTACAGATTAACAAGGAAAAATGTTGCAAATGCAAGGGAACAATAACAGTAACTGGTCTGGTTACACTTCAGTCCTTGGGAGAATTAGCACATACTTCAGGAAGTTACTTTAAAGATATGCAGTAAGCATTTGCTGCCTCAACTCAGGGTGAGGGAGTTTTAGCAAGAGCAAGGCTCAGAGCAGCCTAGGTATAATGCAGGCCTGGTCTCCCACGAGAGAACCGATCGGTGGGTTTGGCGTCCTGTGTGCCACCACGCACCTATGGGCTTTCTAATAGGGCTGGGCTACATTTCCCATCTCACACAGATAGATTCCCTATATCACCCTACCCCCTTGTGATATTTATGAGATTAAAAGCGTTAGCTCTAAAATTGGTCAGACGAGTTTGAGGTCCTGGCTGGACCCCACCATCAGCTTTGACCATGTTCTCTTCTTTCCCCAACCTCACTTCCTCTGTCCCTACCTCAGAGGGCTCCTGTGCCCGATAGCATAACACACAGTAAGAACTCAGGACCGTGCCCATCACAGTGCAGGTTCAGTAAGTGAGGGCTCTTACTCTGCAAAAGTGATAAATAAGGTTTAGTAGCAGCTGAATTATTATGCTGTATGAATAAGGTTTATTTAACACAATTCCAATTAAGTCAGATTTCTGGTCAATTATTTATAAGCTTGGGAAGTAAAAATAAATCAGAAAACGTAGACTCGGTACGGGAAAGTGCTCCTTTGCTTATGAGGAGAGGATGCATAATGCCTTGATCGGACCAGTGTTTCAGAGGGTCCAGGTTCCGTCAGTGAGGCTGTGGGATTCAGAACCAGTCACCTCCAGATGTGCCTCTGCGGTGTGCACATTTTTTCAGAGCGAAAGGCAGACTTTAGCCTCTCACTCAAAAGAAACTTCTCCTCCCTTAACAATCTGGAGGACTTGAATCACGGGCCTTGCATACAATAAAAGATTATCAGTGATAACCTTTTTGACTCATCTGTATGGCAGGACAAACAGTTATTTGTTAAAACATCTGTTCTTTTTATCAGCCTGCAATAACCCTTTGACACCCCCAAGGAGCATAACCTCATCCTTCACTTCGGATGTCTGATATAGCTAGAACCCTGTTCTGTCTCTGGACCTCTCGTGCACGTGAGGTCTCTGATCCTCTCAGGTGTGCAGGGCTCCCATACTATGTGTGTGTTAAATTTGCCTATTTTCTCTTGCTGATCTGTCTCATGTTTATTTATTAGACCAGCTAGAAGAACCTTGAGAGTAAAGTTTGTTTCTCCCCTAGAAGGCCAGAGGAGGAGGAGGAGGAGGAGGAGGAGGAGGAGGAGGAGTAATAGCAATTAACGTTCATTATGCATTTTACTTAGTCTCAGTACTGTGCTCAGTGCCATATATATATTATTTCATTACATTAGGACACTTTCAAGTAATTACTGTTAGTATGCAGATGAGGAAATTGAGGCTTAAAGAAGTTACTCAACCTGCCCAAGTTTACCTAGTGAGTAAGTATCGGTAAACTGGGATTCAAACCCAAGTCATCTGGGTCTGCAGGCCAAGTGAAATAAGCCAATCAGAGGAAGGCAAGTACCATATGATTTCACTCATATGTGGAGTGTAATGAATAAGATAGACAAAATAGAAATAGGCTCACAGAGAACAGACTGGTGGCTGTCAGAGGGGAAGGGGATTGAGAGGCTGAGTGAAGAAGAAGGTGAAGGGGTTAAGGAAAAAAGTTCATAGGCGCAGACAACAGCATGGTGATTCCCAGAAGGAAACGGGGGTGGGGAAGGTGGAAGAGAGTGAAGGGGGGTAAGTGGAGATGGAGGGAGACTTGACTTGGGGTGCTGACCACACAAACAATATACAGATGATGTGTTATGGAACTGCACACCTGAAACCTAAGTAATGTTATTAACCCATGTCACCCCAGTGAAATCAATAAAAAAATGACTAGACCAATCTATTCATTTAATATTTTATTTTAAAAATATTTCAAACCTATAGAAAATGTGCAAGGATAGTACAATGAATTCCTACATATCCTTCCTTGGGATTCACACATTTTTATCAGTTTGCCATATTTGCTCTCTCTCTCTTTTCTGTTCCGTATTGTTTGTTTGCTTATGCTGAACCATTGGGAAGTTGCAGACGTGATTCTTTGATCCTATTGGTTTGAGCACCTATCTGTTAAGAACAAGGACATTTTTTTACAGGATCACAGTTTAATTATCCAAGTAAACATGTTTAGTCGGGCTATACTACTCTCTTATCTAGTGTGTAGCCCATATGCACATTTCACCAGTGGTCCCACTTCGGTCTTTTATATCGGCTTCCGCCCGATGTAGCCCCGCACTTGCTGTCCGGTGTCTTTACGCTTCTCTAACGTGGGGCAGTTCTGCAGTCCTTCTTGGTCTTCCCTCGGACCGTGCGTGTAACCTGGTGGTTCTGTCAGGAGAAAAGAGGCCCTCGGGGGCCACCGTGGGGAGGGGAGCCAACCCCCATCCCTCACCTGTGCCACTCAGGTGCCGGAGAGTGGCCCAGCGGCTGCAGCAGCCACTCCTTGTGTCAGTAGGAAAGTGACTGTCTTGCAGTGTGTACATTCTTGTGATTGTGCGTGTCTGAGATCTTTAGCTGAAGACACTGTAAGTGTAAACTACTTGCCATTGTCGTTCTGTGAGGTAAAGCTGGTCTTTGTTGCCAGGTTACCATTTGCAGTTCTTCCTCAATGGTCACATATGTTTTGGTTTCTCTCCCCATTTAGTCTCAAAGAAGATGGAGCAGGAACGCCCTATGACAAGGAATCAACAGCCATCATAAAGCTGAATAATACCACTGTTCTTTATTTAAAAGAGGTGACGAAGTTCCTGGCTCTTGTTTGCTTTGTCAGAGAGGAAAGCTTTGAAAGAAAAGGTAATTTTTTGTGTGTGTGATTTAAATGAAGCATTTCAGTTCAGATGAGTACCGCCTTTACTGCTTGTGGAATGTGGATGGGGAGCAGCATGCCTCTGGAAGCTTCCAGACTTCAGTCACAGGCCCCCGTGGCTCCTGCCCACATCAGTCAGGGGTGGGGATCCATGAACCAGCCTGCCCTGGAGTGAAAGCTCCCTGGGAAATGGAAGTGAAAACAACTGTCTTCCCAGGGGCCTTAGCTTTTCTGGGGGTGAAGCTAACTGGGGTGTTGCCAGGCTTAAGGTTTCTCTCCAAGAAACCTTACCAAGGCCTCCCCCTTGGTCCACACCTCTAGGTTTCGGAGGTGTGCGATCCCTTGTGCCCCCATTTAAAGGAGGGGACTCATGCAACATGAAAGCTGGACAGTCTTTAACTTCTCTTCAGCCTCTGTGTCTTCTTCAGTCCTCAAAACACAGGGATGGCATCATGATTCCGAAAATAGAAGGCATGAATATACTTAATAACACCACCAGATATCTTTTGAGTTTTATTTTAAAACCAAAGCAGTTAATCTCATAAAGATGCTCCTTTCCCCCCATGCTACCTAAACTGGGAAATACCATCTTAGTGTCATGGGTAGGGGTGTTTGCTAGTAAAGAGGGTATGATCCACCAATTTGTGGGGTAAAAAAATTCCCTACAAAGTGGCAGTAGTAACATTTACTGAAATAGCTGTTTTTTCCTTATAAAGTAATACATGTTCATTAAAAAATGCTTTGAAAACTTAAGAAAGTATAAACAAAATAAAACCACTCAGTTTCACCGTCTAGAGCTAAACCCCATGTTAAATTTCTGAAGTTTGCTTTCTTTCTCCTCTCCCGCTCCCTTTCTGCCTCTCTTCTTCCCTGCCTTCCTCCTTCATCTCTCCTTTCCTTCCATCCAGCAAAAGTGGGGCCAAGGTGTCTATATTGTTTTATATCCTGTTGTTTTCATTTATTTATATAATGAAGTTGGTTTTTAAAAAGATTTTATTTATTTACTTTTATAGAGAGGGGAGGGGAGGGAGAAAGAGAGGGAGAGAAACCTCAGTGTGTGGTTGCGTCTTATGCGCCACCTACTGGGGACTTGGCCTGCATCCCAGGCATATGCCCTGACTGGGAATCAAACCTCTGACCCTTTGGTTCGTAGGCCAGCACTCAGTCCACTGAGCCGTACCAGCCAGGGCTACATATATTCCTCATCCATTTCCCCCAAATGTTAACATCTTACATATTATAGCACAGTTATGAAAACTAGGGAATTAACATTGGATAATGCTCTCAGCCAAACTATACCGTATGCAAATTTAACCAGTTTTTCCAAAAAATCTGTTTTCTGTTTCAGGATCCCAAATTGATTTAGTTGTTATTTCTCCTAGTCCCCTCTCATCTGTGACAGTTCTTCATCTTTCATAGCCTTGACACTTTTGAAGAGTACTGATCAAAAATTATCTTGTAGACTGCCCGTCAAATTTAGTTTGTCTGATGTGTTCACTCATTTGAAATGAGATTATGCACTTTGGCAAGAACACCACATCGAAATGATGCTGTGGCCCTGGCTCATGTGGTTCAGTTGGTTGGATCCTGTACATGGAAGGGTTGTGGGTTCGAGTCACAGTTGAGGCACATACCTGGGTTGTGAGTTTGATCCCTGGTCAGGGTGCATATGGGAGGCAACCAGTTGATGTTTTTCTCTCTCTCTAAAAGCAATGGGGACGCCCTGCCTGATGTGGCAGTGGATTGAGTGCCGGCCTGCAAACGAAAGGGTCACTGGTTCGATTCCCAGTCAGTGTGCATGGTTGGGTTGCAGGCCAGGTCCCTGGTAGGGGGCATGCAAGAGGCAACCACACATTGATGTTTCTCTCCCTGTCTTTCTTCCTCCTTTCCCTTCTCTCTAAAAATAAATAAATAAAATCTTTTTCTAAAAAAGCAGTGGGGAAATGTCCTCCGGTGAGGGTGAAAAAAGAAAGAAGTGATGTTGTGTCCTCAGTGCATCGTATCAAGTAGTGAACGATGTTTGTGTGTCTTACAGTGATGTCGACTCAGCTAAGGTGGTGTCTGCCAGTTTTTCCTCTGGAATGTCCCTGTCTTGTCTTTCCCTTTGTAGTTAATGTGGGCTCTCAAACTATTTCAATCATGTTTCTTCCCACACTTTTGCCCCCTAATTTTAACTTTGCTCTAGGGTTGTGGAAGTAAATTTAAGCAGGAATTGATCATGTGGATCTCTTAGTAAGTTATCCCACCTAAGTGGGATCATCTCTGAGGATAGGCACACTTTGTAGAATTTATTAAGCTAACTAGAAACCTAGGTGTTAGTTTTAATGTCATAACTGAGAAATGTAAATAAATAGGCAGACCAAGGTTAACCCCAATTGTGTTAAACTTGTGTATTTTAAGGTGACTAACCATCTCCATTTGTCTGGGACAGAGTTCATGGGACAGTAGACCTCCAGGGTTGAAACTGGGAATAGTCCCAGACAAACCGGATGAGTTGGTCATCTTGTCTGTTAGGTAGTTGTCTTTGAAAAGAACTTAGGCTTATAAATGCACGGAGTTGCTTGCACTTGTGTTGCTGAGTCCTGTTGGTGCTGATAATCAATACTTGGTGATTAGCTTTTCTTTGTGTTGTTCTCCGTCTGAGTTTTCAGTAACAGTCTGTGTGACTGCTCTAGCGGAAGGGGGAGAATTGAAAGCAGATGTACTGTTCTCAGCCTTGGCTGCACATTACAGGAACCTTGGATGGGAGGTGGTTAAAAAATACGGATATCTGGGTCCTCTGTATAATTAAAATGCAATTCCTGGAAGGGGGGCCCTGCGGTTTGTTAAATTTTTTTGAAGTTCTCTGGATGTTTTTAATGTGCTGCTGGCATTGAGAACCACTGAACCAGAGAAGGATGTTGGACCATTAAATAACTGTGTATGGCGGTGAAGACAGTCCTTACTCTGTTCATGTCTCTTTTCTTGTATTTTCAACTGTTTTAATGAAAGGGTTGAAATAAATAACAAACTCTTTCTATGAATGCTTACTTTCTTTAAACACCTCAGTTGTGAATTTTTACCTTTTTATTTTTAAAACTCCAAATACAGCAAGATGACTGTTTTTTTCCTTTTAAATTTGCCCATTTAAAAACGTGAGTAAGTTAAGATTTGCGGAAAGCTATCGATGGGCCCTGACTGGTGTGGCTCCATGGATTAAGTGTTGTCATCTCCGCTCAAGGCCAGGTCCCTGGTTGGGGGCATGCGAGAGGCAACAGATCGATGTTTCTCTCCTTCTCTTTCTCCCTCCCTTCTCCCCACTAAAAATAAATACATAAAATACATTTTAAAAAGCTATCAGTAGAATGTCTCTGGAATTTCCCAGGTTGAGTGTTTGATGGCACCCTTCTCACTGAGCCATTCAAGCTAAGCTTTTTTCCTAAGACATTTGGCTGCCTGTGTGATAGGCAGAGAATTGTTAGGGTCTCACATCTCACTTTCAAATTCCCACAGAATGAGATCACTCATTTGCTCCTTGTTTATCACGTTCTGCCTTAATCACCTCATTGGCTGTTCTTTTATTCCCCCCTTGTTGGTCACTATCACTGCGAAGCAGCAGAGGGTACCTCTCAGGGGGTTTCCTGCTCCTGGAAGCTGAGTTAGTGTTTCCTCCAGTGCTTTGTAGTTCATTTTCAGACTAGTTTGCAGAGTTTTACTCCTTGGCTGGAATCTGAATTCTTTGTTTGGGTCTCTTCCATCACCTGCGTGGATGGAAATAATGGCTGGGCTGGTTGTTTTAATAAGTTTAAAGACAGTAAATAGAACAAACTGCCTTATCCTAATTGGGATAAGCATAAGGTTGGTCTCAACAATAATGAATTAGTGATGATGATGAAAAAACATACTGGAGACTTTCATTATCTGTTATTCTATTTTTGTACTACTAATTAATTTCTAAAAACACAAGAAGATTCTCCCCTACTGTTCCTCCATTTAAAATGTACATGATATTGAAGAACTGAGATTGTCATTGTTTGTTGAATTCCTGAGTTTGAGTTGACCTGAGCTGACTGTTACCACTCTAAATTCAGAGACTTTGCTTTCCCCAGGGTTTATGACAATGGTTTAAATATAATGTATATCCAGTAAATATTGATTGATTACATGATTGATACTATGGCTTTGATTTCTCAGCCACACTCCAACTCAGGGTCTGCCTCCACTTAGTCAATTTAATAATGCCTTTTGGGAAAAGGAAATAATAAATATTTCATTGAAGGTATATCTTTATTGTAAAAAAAAATTCTGAAAGATCAAAAAATGTGCAGTTCACTTGGTTCCTCAAATCTTTTGGGTCATAGAAACCTTTGAAAATGTGGCATGTACTCTGGAAACTTTGCTTAGGGAAAAATATACATACATTCACAGGACTTGGCCTGTAATTCCTGAAGGCTAGCTGCTGACCACCTAGGGTAGTCTGTGGACGTTCTGTGAAGGCTGCTCCTCTACTGCCCCCTACTGGTTTATTCTCGCCATTGCCGACATGAAAAGATGGAGATTATTTCTGTGACATTTCTAAATGTTTTTGTTTTCTTCTCCAGGGCTTATTGACTATAATTTTCACTGCTTCCGGAAGGCCATCCATGAAGTTTTTGAGGTGAGAATGAAAGTGGTGAAATCACGAAAGATTCAGAATCGGCTGCAGAAGAAAAAAGGAGCCACACCCAATGGGACGCCTAGGGTGCTGCTGTAGGTGAGGTTTCAGCAGCATCTTTTGAAATCAGACCTTCTTTCAGTGAGGCTGCTGCACTGTGTTGCACTAAAGGAAGAGGAAGACGGAGATTGGGACAAATAACACAAATTTGTTGTAAAGACAGAAAAATTCCTAGCACCCTCTTGATCTTTTCTTTTTTAAATAAAGCAAGCACTTTGAAGCAAAAACTTGTACATAAACAATGAAGTGAAACCCACTGTAATTTCGTTACATAGATGTAAACTTTTTTGGTCTGTAGTCAGAAAAACCCTGTGTGAGAACTGCCAGAAACTGTATATATTTTGCACTTTTTCATGTTTTTTTTCCTCATTGAACTAAACTTTGATAAAACAACTTTTCTAAGATTTTTTCTGTACTCGGTGTCAAGGACATGCATACTGTAGTTTCCAGCTATATGGCAATCAGAAATTTAAAAGTGATGCATTAACAATGACTTTTTATACACTTGGGAATCTTTGCTACCAATTGTTGAGAAAAATAATTTTTCAGTGGAGAGGGAACAGATTGAGGCAGTGAGCTCCCAGAGCAGTAAGAGCTGCCCCCTGTTTATAACTAGTACCGACGGGAGTTTTGTTGAATCATATTAGCGCCAAATTTATCTAAACGTTTCTATAGCTGTGGCAGTGCTTCCCTACCCAACAGTTTTTACAGAGTTCTTTACCTCAACACACATCTCTAGAATCGTTTTATACAGAGTGGTTGTTTCTTCTTGCTGTGTGGCTATTCTTCAGGACCTTTGGGACCAGATTTCCAAAATGGTGCCAATCACTTGAGCCAAATGAGAATGTCATTGAATTGTAAGGTTTCTAGAGACTATTTTGTACCTGCCACCCAGGCTGAAGTAACATCAGAGGGCACGTGGTTTCCCAAATGTGGGTGATTGGCAACTGCGGATGTAAAAATATATATACAGTTCTGTATGTTTGGCCTCTGTGAAATGAGCCTGTTACTGTGCAACATCTGAAATGTTTATTTTGGACCAGCTATTTTGTATTGCTCCATGATCACAGATAATGTCTCAGATCTCTACCATAGAGCTGAATCCTTTTGGGCACATTTGTCACCTCTGCATGTCCTTCTCATCTGTGACAGTGTGCCTTGCAGTCTCTGCCTGTTCCCACCCTGTGATTGAACTAGAGCTCAGCCTGCCAGCAGCATGCTCTTCACAGCTGAAAAGCCATTCTGAAAACCCCTGAAGCTCAGTGGGGGGGGATGGCCAGAGGAGGCATGATAGTTAGCTGTGCATTTGTTTCTCTGAAATTCTGTCACTTATGTTTACTTTAGACTAACAGCAAGTTAAGAGCCTCCTTAATCTACCACCATCCCAAACCATTCCAAGTAGATAATTCTAGGTCCATCCCAAGGGTCAATTCCTAAGGCATGCTTGTGGGTGTTAGAAAATAATGTATTTTTTTCTTTTAGCAGAACCTCATAGGGATAAAAAAGCTGCTCCTAGCAAAAATGTGTCAGGCTCCTAAAGCAGCTTGTCCTTAAAATCATCCCACTTCTGTCACTTCTTTCTACTCTTTCTCCTTTCTCTCAAGTCATATTCCTTTGAGGCTGGTAACTGTAGTTTAAAATGGTAGCTGATTGGGGTTTAAGGTTTGAGCCCTCCCAAAGCATTGTGTGTTTTGGAAGATTTCTAAATTTCTAAAAATCCCAAAGGAGCCTTGCCTACCTTCCTCATAATTTCTGCTCAGAAACCCTGATGAAGCCTTTTCCCTAATTGCCAACAAGCCTAGTACAGGGGGCAGGTATTACAAATCTAATTCTCTAATAGTTTTTACACAATGTTTCTTTTTGAGTAAACAAAGAATTGCTTTTGTAATGTGATTTTATCCTCAACATAGAGACACTTGCCTATCTGATAAATCACACATCATTTAAGTATATACACATATTATTGTAACCAGTTGGAGCTTCCATTTTTGAGTTGGGTACGTGATGGGTTTTTGTTAAAATGTGCCTTAAGAGCCTATTACTTCAAGAGCAAATGATTCTTTGGGGGAAAGGCAAAGTTAATGCTATGGTATAAGGACCCAAGTTCATGTACTCAGAGTACTCATGTACTCAGAGTACTAAGTGCACTCTGTTTAATCACACACTGAGGTACAGATTACTGCCTCAAACCTGTACGTATGGCAATGACTTCTTACTTAAAGAGAGGTGTAGGAGTTCTGTCTAAGTGTTCAGTTTTTAAAGTCTGTGCCACTGAAATTACAAAATCAATTCCTTATGCATTTTATGTTTGATAAGGGATTTAGCTCATGTGACATGTATGACCACATTTAGGTCTCAGATCCAATGCTACAAATATAAAACCCAAATACATGGCTACAGTGATGACTCTGGAACATTTTCACTCATTTTCAAAGGTTGAGAACATGACCTACAGGTTTCTTGGGCAATTAGAATTTCTATGTAGAGGTGCAAACTTGTGAATTATCTATCAGTTTTGGTTATTTTCAGTTATGTAGATTAGTTTGTATGACCAGAGTAGAGTGCTTTTGAAGGACTATAAATCAAAAACTGTTGACATTCAAGAACAGTGTTATTTTGTGAACATGATATATTTTGGATCCTTAAATATAGAATGACTAAAAACACAGCAGTATTATTATGTATGGGTTATGTGCTTACTCCGTTTGAAACATACTCCAGAAAAGCAGTCAACTGTCTTGACTATTAAGGTGAGGTATGCATTCACCTTATGTGGGCTGGGTATAATGTGTAATTGGGTATAGTGTGAAATTTTGCTTTAAGCAGCATGTCATTTATAACCAGTGTTAAACCACTGGTTTCTCGAATGTTGACTGCCAATTTAAAAACTTGTGGCATATGCTCATGATTTGGTAAGTGCTCCTTTTTGTTGTAAGCATATTCCTAACTAATCTTTCCGGGAGCAGAATGGTCTCTTGGGTGGAAAAGAAGTATGGTCTTCCATGTTTGTGAACTTGTTTACCACACACATGAATTACTGCTTTACTGGCCCTGTTTGGTCCCTTTAGTAAAACACGTTTGTCCTGATTAATGGGCTTTCATTTTGTGGAAATGAGGATAAATCACTCTATTTAAGTTGGATTTGCACTTTTATTTTTACTTTTTAGAACCCTCTTGTCTCTCCATATTTTTGATGGTGACATGCCTGTTTGGACTATAGAACTGTTATTTCAGTAAACTTCAGTTATTAATTCTGCTCTCCTGACCCTAATCCCTAGCCATTTGGAAATTCACTTCCTCACAGGGCACCTTATCGCTCCATCCTTACTGAGTAAGGTTCCACCCTGATGACTTTTACAGATCTCCTAAGAGTTTTCAGAGAGGGCTGGCATTGGGTGTTACACCTTGTATATGAAATCCTGTTTCTGATAGAAAGCCTGATCTGAAATAATTATTTCCAAGATCTTTAATCAGTGGTGATGTTTGATTTAGTAGGAAGAAAGCATGGTCTTTAACAGATTTACGTAATAATAGATATTGAATACACACAGGACGCCACATGCTGCTCTTCTGTGCATTTACACGACTTACTCTCACAAACCCAAGAGGCAGGTACTATTATCACTCCTGTTTTACAGAGGAGGCACCTGAGTTCAAAGAGTTTGAATAATTTGATCAAGATCATATTGCAAGTAACACACAAGGTCTGGAGTCTGATGAGTCACTCTTTCAGCTGCTGCTCTAAGCAACCTCCTTGAATGTCCCCTTAAATGCCCTCCTTTCTCAGACCTGAAAGGGGGGACTTGAAGCTTAGGATTTACTGCTGCATGTGTTTAGGAAGGCTGAGATACTGAGATATTTAAAAATACATTTCCTTCCACGAGAATCAACAGCAGCAGTCTTGCAAATGTGCTTCACTTTTTTGAAAAGGAAGTCAACAAATGCTATGTTTTTTCCTTCTAATCCAGTCAGTGACTCTAGTGCCAAAAATAATATTAACAGAGTGTTTAAATATCAGAAGAAAATTTAAGTACATTTTATAGCCATTTGGTTTTCTAAGAAGCTTTAGTATATCAAACCCTGAGGAAACGAGAAAATAAGCTATTGATCTAAACTGTATTAACCCTACTTTGAGCTTTTAATATATGTAACAATAATTTATAGAAAATAAAATCCTGATCTGGATTAAAATCAAAAGATACATTTCAATCCTAATCCTTCAGACCTATATTTAAAATTGCCACTAGTGTACTTCAGGGGGGTTTTCTACAAGGGGAGCCTCCACTCTAACGTGTCCAAAAGTTGAACTGGCTTCTTTCTTGTTGTATCATCTCCTGTGATGGCGTGACTGTCCTCCTTGCATCCTGGCTAGAAACTTGGTTCTCATGCTTGACTTCCCTCCTGCTCACCTCCTCCCATCAATCACCCACTTCTTTCAGTTCAGCCTTACGGACCGCTGCCATTGATCCTCTTCTCTCCATCTCTTCTGCCCTGTCCTGGTTTACACCACCATCTCCTCTTATTTGGATCTCAATGGCCGCTTAACAGTATCTTTCTGCCTTATGCATCCACCTATTCCATCATTCTCTATTCAGGGTGCAGAATGACCTTTCAAAACTACCACAATTCTGACTATATCACTTATTCAACACCCTTCCTACCTCCCCATTATAGATATCAGTCAAACTCCTTAATCGAGTTTGCAGGACACTCTGCTTGGTCCTTACCTCCCTCTCCAGCCTTGGTTCATCCTCCTCTTAACAGAGCTGGACCAATCCGTCCATACCGGGTGGTAAGTTAGAGGAACCGTGAATTTTGGTTCCTTTGTCGGTCATTTTCTGGGGGAAATAATTTTCTTTCTTAGGAGACGATTCTTTTTTTTTTAAGATTTTATTTATTTATTTTCAGAGAAGGGAAGGGAGTGAGAAGAGAAGGAAAGAAACATCAATGTGTGGTTGCCTCTCATGCACCCCCTACTGGGGATCTGGCCTGCAACCCAGGCATGTGCCCTGACTGGGAATCGAACCAGTGACCCTTTGGTTCACAGGCTGGTGTTCATCCCACTGAGCCACACCAGCCAGGGCTTGACAGTTATTGGTAGAACACCTATTGTAAGACATTGTGCTTAGTAAAATAGCTAAAAGACAGATACTGGAGATGGAAGGGAAGGATTTTAATATCTAAAAATAACTAGTCTAATCAGGAAATCAATTAGTCTAATTTTATATGGACCCTTATAGGTGTCACAAGAGTTCTATAGGACTGTGCTACTCTCCAGCGAAGACCATGGAGAGCTGTAATGAGCATCTGAGAAGCTGAATTGTTCAACCAGTAGCAGATCAGTAGCTATATTAGTATCATCAATTTGCAGTAAGATTAAGTTCACTATAAGAAGTAGGTTAAG